AAATATATCCAAAAAATTTTTTGGAAAATAAAAAAATTTTATACAAAAAAAAAAAAATAAAAAAAAAAAAAAAAAAAAAAAAAAAAAAAAAACAAAATCAAATGGCAAAAATCATCTTATCATTGCGTAAAGAGAATGATTTTTCTTTTCTTTTTATTTGGATTTCTTAAAAAAATTAAATTTAGCAAAACAAAAGTTTTCAATTTTTTGTTCGATGTTGATTCTTATCACAGGCGCAGGCACAATTCAAGCATAATTCAATAAGGTTGATGAAATTTGAAATTCAAAAAAAAAATTTAATTTAAATTTAATTGAAATTTTAATAATTTCATTTTTTACCCAGATTTTTTCTCTTCGTTGATAACAGCATTGAAAAAACATTGAAAACAAAAGCGATAATTTTAATGAACTTTTTGATGATAAACAAAAAAATTGAAAATGAAAATTGAAAATTGAAAAAGCAGAAAATACTTTTATCTTTTGGACATTATGAAATCAATATTTGCATATTATTTCTCGTGCATTTTATGTTGTTTATGTCAATTACATATCCGGTTACGTAATGGTCATTGATTTAAATTTTGATTGTTTGAATGGAAAGAACAAAATTGCTTTCAATTCAATTACAATTGCAAATTTTATTCAAACAACAAAAAAAAAACAAAACAAAACAAGGGTATCTCATTCATTATAATTTCTAACAAAGAATTGATTTGGGGGAAAAGTTCCGGCAATTCCTATCATTTCCTGTCAATGTTTTTGTGTGAAGTTTTAGTTCGCGTTTAAGTTTGTTTGTTTTTTTTTCATAAAATGAACGTGCAAAAAAACAAATATTATGACAACAACAACGACGTAACTGCGTTTTAAAAGAAAACGATAATATTCTGATCATTTTTTTTTTGTTGAAAAAATAGAGTTTTTAGCATCCCATTTCTACAGTTGTTGTTATTGTCGTTTTTTTTCTTTGATTTTCCTGGAATTATATAGATTGTTTGGTATATGTAGATTGTTTGGTATCACTTTTGTTTGTTTGTTGGCCATCAAATTTCTAAATCATTCGATAGATTTTTTGGTTTTCTTGGTTGGTTGATTGGTTATTTTTGGAATTCAGAAAAAAATTATCTTTGATTTTGTACGGTTTTTTCTCAGAGTTGATTATTCGTTTTGATATGTTTGTTTTTCATATATGAATGAAAGAAGAAAAAAAACATTTCTGGGTCCAAAATTTTGTTTATCATCATTTCATTATTGATCGATCGCTAATTAATTGATTGATTCGATGATGATGATCATTTTTTTCCTGATATTTTCATGCTTGATTAATTTCAATAACCAAAAAGGAAATTATCATCAAACCATTGATATGTATTACCTGGAAAATGATAAATTCATTGAAACTATGTTTCAAATTGAAAATTTTCCATAGAAAAAAATATTGATATCATTAGTAAGGAGAACAAACAACAAAAACAAAAACATAAAATGATAATGATTGTTAGTGGATAGTTGTTGTTATATACAGGAATTACATAAGAATTTTTTTTTGTTTGTTTCTCATTGACCATTGGTCATTGCTGATATTTGGTAACGTTATTATTATCATCTAAACCATATCGCATCACATCATTATCGATTCTGCATCTCTTTACTTAATATGATTTGTTCTTATGGTATATTTTTTTCTTTTTCCCCATTCATTCGAATCGAAACAAAATTTCTATCATTATTATTCGTATACAACAACAACAACAACAAGCAAACAAACAACCACACGAATCATCATGTACACAATATTTGTTTTCTTTCTACGTCATACTAGAAAAACATATTCCATATTCACATCATATTTAATGATTTTTTTTTTGAGACAAAAAAAAAATGTTATTTGTTGTTGTTGTTGTTGTCGATGAACAACAACAACAAAATTGTACATTTTCTACTGTCATATGTCTATAGACATTTTTTGTCTCTGTGTTGAATGTTTCAAAATTTCCATAAATCTTTCATTTTTGTACATTTTGCTAATCATTCATTTTGTACATTTCCATATCAATTTATTGTTGTTGTCATGTTGTTTTTTTTGTTTGTTTCAT